TAGTTTACGTTTATTGTACATTTCTTTAGCTAATCATCTATCAATTGTTAAAGGAAATTTCTCTCACGATCTATCTTCTCTCTACATCTATCTAAAATACAATATTTATCAAAGTATTTATCACTATCATACAATAATAATATATAAGTTTACACATGACTGCACAGTGAAAAAATAGCATTAATTTATTGAGATCTGATGCTATTATTTTGTGTCACATTACTGGGTACTTCCTTTTTGAATTATATTTGTTTCCTTTTGTTGAGGACTCTTTATCTTAATCTCCCATACATATTTTCGGGATCTTTTCTTTATTGAATCATCTCTCTATTCTCAAGGAGAATTATCTCCTACGATCTATGTTCTCTATGTATCTATCTTCAATATAGCAAGAGAGTACATCTCTCATAGGTTTTATTTAAATAATTCTCCTACAATCTATCTTCTCTATGTATTTATCTTCAATATAGCAAGAGAGTATATATCTCATAGTTTTTTATTTAAATAATTCTCCTACAATCTATCTTCAATATAGCAAGAGAGTATATATCTCATAGTTTTTTTATTTAAATAATAATAGAAATGTGCTATACTCTTACACTCTCTCTAGTCGTAAGGTCCCTTCTTATTGTTTAAGATGACTTAATAATGTAGTATATATATAGATATTTCTTTTGTAAAATCTCTCAAAAGTACATATATCCTAAAGTATCTCTATATATCCTAAAGTATCTCTAAAAAAGATAGGATTTGCTCCTTTGAATAATAGAAAGATACTCAACATCATATGTTCTAAACTTCTGTACTTGAAGGTCGCACGCCCTACATTGTCTCTAGAGATAGGATCCCCCTTCACGAAAATATAATATAGGTAAAGATAACTTCGCCAAAATTTGAGGCCGATAAAATTGGCAAGTCATTCATATTTTAAAATGAATTAAATATTTGAAAGCCAAAAATAAAAGACTTTTAATTCCCCCCATAAAAGTTTGTATTGGCACAAGAGTGATTTTGCATCATATTTATGATCAAAAGTTTATACTTGCACACGGATAATTTTGCATCATATTTATGGATACCAGAGTATTCATCGTGCAACATATATACGAAAAAACGTGGCTCAAGAACTTCATCATAAACTATGTGATTGTTTTAAAGACGTTCTATTTATTCTTTATATATAAAGAAGAAGCAAAACTGTAACTATAAAATAAAATAAAATAAAAAAATAGACATAAAACATCTTCAATCACATTTCGAACCATACTAGTTGATATCAAGCAAAGTTTAACAAAGTATTTAAGCTTGGGTGGTTAACAGATTACCTCTACATCTCAATTTCAATTCCTTAAAAAAAAAAAAAAAGGTCAAAAACCTTGCTATTATCTAAGAAACCATCCAAACAGCCACCATGTTCGGACCGTAGTCGCTTCACCTTCTTCACCTTTGATATCCCTCCCACCCAATGAATCAAGGCATGAGATTTCAAGGCTCTGGAGTGGATGCTGACTCTCAGTTTCCCTCGAATTCAAAAAATCTGCCTCTTTCAAATCCATATAAGAAAGAGGCTGGCTTGGGGTTCATTAAATGAACATGCCTTTTCTATAAGTGTATCAGGAAGATATTAATGCTCATCACATAATTCCTTTGACAATTATCCCTCTTCGATATCAAAGATATCGTTAGAAAGGGTGGATGGAGGATTGTGCTCCTTTGATAACATGGGCTCCTCTGATGAATCTGGATCTCCCATTTTATTCTCATTTGTATCACGAATTTGCTCCTCAGATGCTACAAGTGGTTCCCTTTTGAAATCCAATAAACTTGTTTCTCCCATACCCATGTTGTTGTCATTCAGAGATTTATGCTCATCTGATGTGGAGGGCTCCTTTGGTAAATTATGCTCTTCCGATTCCGAATCGGAATTAGGATGAGATTCTGGGTCGTTACTGTCACTGTCCTCATCAGAGGTAAAGAAATCTATGACATTATCGAATGAGAGTTGGATTTCTTCTACAACTTCTTCAAATGAAAGTTCCACTTCTTTGAATAAAAGTTTGTATTCTTCAGAAAGAGAAGGGTACAATTTGAGGATAATAAACTTGATAGCTAAAATAGAGCCAAATATGTGAAGACGTAGACAATACCCGGAGAGGTAAATAAAGATAGGGACAAAAAAGAGGGAGAAAGGTGGGAAAGAAAGGCAGAGTCTAAAACAGAGGAGACATATGAGATCCAAAGCCAAAATGGTGGATAAATCATCGATCGTGTCTGATTGTTTCGAGAAGAAAGAGACCAAAGCCTGCTCAGCCTTGGCGAAGAGCTCGTGAGTTCGTTTTGCAAAGTAGACTTTGGCAAAGAGAGAGAAATCTACCACATATTCGAATAGCAGTTTGAATGCTTCACCAATAGAAGGGAAAAGTTTTAGGATAATACAATTGATAGCTAAAATAGAGCCGATTATGGAAAGGAGAAGGTAAAACCCCAAGAGGGAATGAAGGATAGGGAGAACAATGGCATAGAATCGTGGGAAAAGAAGAGGGGGATAAAGGGAGAGTGGAAAGAAAATCAAAGGGATGGAAAGACACAACTTCAGCTTATCTATCGTGTCCCACGCCCTGGACAAGGGCACCAGGGTTTGATTTTGCTGCTCAGTCAACCAGAATAGAGAGAAAGCCGACCTGAAGAGAGAGAAAGCCTGTTGTACCTTGCATCTTACTTTTGCCGACCAGGCATTGGCCGTTTTAGATGGAGAGTTTGTGGGTGCTTTGGCTCCTTCAGTTACTTCAGGATACGTTTCCCTCGCATGGTTTCCTACCAGACGGAGAAGGAGGTGAACAATTACCCCGAGGGCACCGACATAGATACACAGTAGAAGGGCATAGATGGTAGAGAAGATGAGAAAAGGGAGAAACCAAGTGATGAGAGGGGAAACAATGGAAGAGAGACGTGGTCGAAGGGCAGCAGTGAAGACGGGGACGAGAGAGAGAGATTGAATGATGAAGATGGAGAGGGAGAGAATGACATGGCATAAAAAGAGAAGATCCATGGTTAACGAGATTGAAAAGGCTCAGAGAAGGCTCAATCTTCTCCAAATTGTGAAGGATTAGAGAAGTCTTTGTTAAATGTAGCCATGTTTAAAGAAAAGTTACGTGATGGCCTATCCCTAGAGTGAAGATAGGGTAAGTGCCCTAAAACTAGGAGTTTTGGATAATTATGTAGGATAAATCATAGAATATTACATCGATATTACATATATCTATTTTCTTCTTTATATATTTACACCTCATTGAGAGATGAGCGTCCTGGAAAGATATTCCAAAATTATTTTACAAAATAGAGCATATCATGTGTCCACTATGGAGCCTTCGCATGTATCTTTAACTATATTCTCTCATCTATTGTATGTCTATCTCACCTATATATAGTCTATATCTGTGGTTTCCTTAATTCAACATATTACCTCTTCCTATATTATATATGATGTTTCTAAGAAAATTGCATATACACATTACAAACCCCAAAAAAAAAAAAAAAAAAAAAAAACGAAAGAAAACTACACTGTAGTAGTACCGATGACCTAGAAAGAGGTCTCAGTTTCAGTTTTAGGTGTGGCAACGGGTCGGGTTGGACCGGGACTGGGGCCGGACTTGGACCTGAAAAAATATTTATAGTACTCAGACCCGACCCAAAAATAAAAATATATATTTAAATATTATGTTTAATATAGACATGTATTATTTAAATATTATAATTACAAATATATAGTTATATTTATTTAAATATTATTTAAAAATTATTAAATTATTAAATATTACTTAAATAATAACAGGGTCGGGGTTCATGTGGACCCGACCTAGACCTAGACCCGAATAGTGTTTGGGTCCAATATTTGGACCTGGACCTGACCTATCTAGTCCAATTTTTGGACTCATACCCGGACCTGGGTTGGGTCCAATCTTCGGCCCCAGGTCCATTGCCACCCTAATCTCATACTCCATTCCAACAGGGGTAGGGGTCGTCGATCCCCACTGAATTGCCTAAAGAAAAAATAATAATTTATATACACATTAGATATCCAAGAAAAGATGCAGGCAAAAAAAGATTTATTAACGCATTTATGAGGAATGAAATTGAAATAAAATAATATAAATTTTCATGTTTCACAAAAAATTATTCGTTAACTTATGTATTTTAAAAGGAAAAAGTTTATATAAGGATGCGACCTTATAATGTAGAACTACGGATGCACCTCAAAACTCTATCAGAAAAGGTAATTTTGATATCGAGATGTATGATCATGAAAAATAAAAATATTTTAATTCTAAAAAATAGTGCATTTTACAACATATTATCCACACTGTCCATTTTCAAGATTCTGATATATTTATAGATCTACTTGATTTTAACTATTTTTTAAATTTAAAATTTTATAATTAGATATAAAAATAGATTTTGAGATAATCTTAAGAATATTTTATATCAAAATTATATACCGTGATAAAATTTGAAGGTGCACCTTACCTCTACAGCTACGGATGCATTTGTTTGCCAACTACACCCATTTTTAAATGGAAAAAGTTTATATAAGGATGCAACTTTATAATGTAGAATTATGGATGCACCTCAAAAATCTATTGAAAAAGGTAGTTTTAATGTTGAAAAACCCGTTGATGGATCACCTGGATGTATGAACATGAAAATAAAAAGATTTTAAGTTTTAGAAATATTACATTTTATAACATATTATCTATACCGTCAAATTTCAAGATTTTCATATGTTTATAGATCTACTTGATTTTAATCATTTTTAAAATTTTATAATTAAATATAAATATAAATTTGAGATAGTCCGAACATTTTACATCAAAATTATATAAAATGATAAAATTTGAACGTGCACCTTAACTCTACAGCAACGCATCCGTATGCCAACCGCACCCTATTTATTTTTAAATTGAGAGCTATTTGTTGTTTTTTAACTGATGTTAACTGTTGTACTGTGAGCATACGCATCGTACTGTTGTTTTCCAAAAACGAAGAAACCACCGCATGTTCTGCGCGCGAAGGCGGTGTTGCCTTCAACGAGCGATACTCAAAATTTAAAGGGAAATCCACATTTGTCGTTATTTTCTCTAGGGTTTGACAGGAGTTTGTAGTTTTTCTAGGGTTTAGCCTGTTGTTCTCTATGTTATACTCCTGTTTCGAAATCCATGGGGTTTCGAGTTTCTAGGGTTTAGCTTGGTTTCCTGCAACTCTGGAGTTTTGGTTTAGCTTCTGCAAATTCATGGTGCTACTGAGTTCTTCTTCTGCTTATATTTTTCTAGGGTTTACTACGAGTTTCCAAAAAAACCCTAAAAAATTCATCTGATTCAAACTCTCTTTCATTCTACAAATATGACAAAGGTTTATGGCACTGGTGTATTTGACTTTAGGAGACACAGGGTGGCTGAATACCAAGTTGAACCGGGGCTTGAAGCTTCACCTGAGAAACCATTAGAGCAAAGGCCAGGCTCCAATTTGTCGAGCTCGATCACTCTCTTGGATATACAGAGAGATCGTCTCACTAGGATTGCTTCAGAAAACTGGTCAAAAACCCAGGACTCTGCTTCCAGGCCACCCTTTGATCCGAAGCTTGTGAAAGAGATTTATGAGACTGAGCTTCTTGTGACCAGTGGCAGCAAGCCAGTGCCTTTGCAGAGGGTCATGATCTTGGAAGTGAGTCAGTATTTGGAGAACTATCTTTTGCCAAATTTTGATTCAGAAACTTCATCCTTTGAGCATGTTATGTCCATGATCCTTATGATCAATGAAAAGGTGCATTTGACATTCTTCTTCTGTTCTTCCTTTTATTCTTTTTTTTTTTTTCTAATTCAAATGCTTTGCTTACAAAATAATCAGAATTTTATTTCTCTGATTTTGAGTTCACATTTGTGGTAATTGGTAATTCATTTGCTAGTTCGAATGCTAATTATGTCATTTATTTGTTAAATTTCCATGCAGTTCCGAGAAAATGTTGCAGCATGGATATCCTTCCATGATAGGAAGGATTTGTTTCAAGGGTTTCTTAAACGGGTTCTTCTTTTGAAGGAGGAGGTTTGTTTCAAAAATTTTGAACTTTCAATACCATTTATTGTGCGGCACATTTGATGATCTCTAAATCTACTCTTGTAATTCATTGCAAATATGTCCTCTCTCTTTTGCATTGTCTTGGGAATTTAATTGCATGTATGATGGGTGTTATACATAGCAGCTATATATATCTAGAAGTGGAAAATTTTTCCTAGGTGTGAAATATTTTGAGGATGGTAATCTCTGCTTTTGTCTTTTGCGAAAACCTGGGGATTGAAAGGAAAATTTTAACTTTTGAGAAGGTTCCACATCACGGTATTATATTGTTCTACTTGGCTTCATTCAGGGTTAAGCATGAACTTCATCCATGTAAGTCTAGATTGCTAAATAGAGGCTTAATTTAGGAATCAGGCTTGGGCCAAGGTGGTAGCAGCTGGGTTTTTATAGCACTAGGTCTCGAGTACCATTCCTATATGACCTTGTCAAAAAAAAAAAAAAAAAAACAAAAAACGAGAGGTTTAATTTTTAATTTTCGATTTTCTTAATACTAAGATGATTAGTGTTTGTAAACATCGTCTTTCCCATTTGCTAAACAGAGGCTTAATTTGTTTTTTGATTAGTAAGATGGTTGGTGTTTGTAATTATCCTATTACCCATTTTCAAGGAGTGTTATGTAGACATGTTGTGATTTGTTTTATTTTTTTATTGAGCTTTCTTGTTTCTTTTCTCAGGGAAGAGTTATGAACATCGCAGAAAAGACAAACTACCTGCTTTTCATGATTAATTCCTTCCAGGTACATGCATAGTCTATATTTTTCTACTTACGCTGTGTAATCAAAATATTTTTTGTCAACTTTTGATTGTTGATTAGTATATTTTGACTTCTCATACAATGAATAACTTGTAAATGAAAGCGTCGATTTCTGATACTGCTTTGTTTTGGATGATTGAGAATAGATTAGTTAATTTGCCTCATTGTAGGTTGGAAAATATTATTAAAAACATCAGCGCACTTATGGCAAACAGAATCTGCAAGCTGTTCTTGAATGAAGGTGATAGTGATATGATATATTTACTTTCATTGTACAACTGTCAACAAATAAAGGCAATATTGCACCGAGTTTCATTGTACAAGCCATGGAGAATGAACTACCATGTTGTAAACTATAGGGAAACTTTCCTAAATTCGTCGTGTTTTACTGATAATACCACATTGGCAAGGCTATCGACGATGTGGTTTATCTCTGTTTGCACATGTGCATCACGTTCAACATTTGCTCTCCTTCAGATTTCCAAAATATTCCAAGATATATATGCAAATCAGTTTGCTTTCTCTGTAGAGGGATCCAATTGCCTCACGAGCCTAGATGTAATTATTACACGGAGGCATGGTTCTAGCCTTGGCATTTCACACACTCAGAGACACACTTGTGTGCAAATAGTTGCATTCGCCATGCTATTGTTGAGCTCAAGGATGTGTGTTGAAGAGAGAATCGGCACCCTATGGCCAAGTAGAAGCCATATGATCCTTAACTAGATAGCTAACCTCTCTTAGATAAGTAACGCTCTTAGATGAGCACACATTAGTGGATTGATGTTGGCCATGCTGCAATGGTTTGGAGTTATGCTAGTAGGAACTGTTTGGTGGGGAAATCAATACTTTGATCTAGGAAATGGCTTTAAGCTTCTTCAACCCCTTTTTACATTCCATATAGTCTATCCTTTCCCTAAAAGCTACCTATATATTCTTCAACACCAACCATTACGGTGGAGAAAATAAATATCACCTGCTTGAAATATTAGTCACTTGCCTTTAAAGAAATATTATCATCACTTACAAAACTTGACAGCAAATGAGCAAGATCTCTATGCCATTCCCCTGCCTACAACTAGATTAGAAGTATTGATCGGGCTTCCTCAGCTATCTAGAAAGAAATAACATGTCCTCCAACTTAGCTGTTATGCGGCTTACTTTTCTTTTTATGTTTTTTTGTCATTTAGTTGGCCCCTAGTTAACGCTTCCCATTTTCACTTTGTGAGAACGGAAAACAAAGGGAGTCTTGGACCACTAATTCATGATGCCTGATATTTATGACTATGGGGTCCAGCACCTGACTGTGGCAACCCCATTATGTGGTGATTGGTTTGCCTTTTGCCTTAGTTGTGTATGTGTTATAGACGAATACCACACATAAACATAATTAATTAATTATGCCATACAGGCATACATGCACACCCATAGAGATACTCCCTTCTTTTTTTTGGGTAGACATGATGTGTGCTTTAGATCTAGTATCTGTTTGTAGTGTTGGATGTGTTATTCACTCTGGTTTCTTTCTGCCAGAGTTTGGAAGATGAGATGGTTCGTGAGACTGTACTTAAGCTAGTTAACCTGCAGTTATGGTGTGGTCTTTCTTTTGGTCGATTTCAGGTACGATTATCATCTTTTCTTTAGGTTATTGCTGCATCCGTATTCGATGTTGATGTATCATCTATATGAGGAAACTTTTTTCTTATGTAGATGGAGCTCTGCTTGCATCCACATCTTCTCAAGAAATGGAAAAGGATGGTAAAGAAAGAAGCTAAGGAAGCTGCAAGGGCTGGAGAGCCCTTCAACCCTTCTAATATGCTTGAAGTGAGGTTTTTGCGGACCTTAATCGATGAATTTCTTGAGGTAATGGTTGTTTCTGCTCAATATGTGTAAGTGTATAATGCTTGTGGTTCTAAATATGTAGTTCTGTAAGTATTTATTGGAAATAAAGGAGTAATTAGCTTCTTTTCTGCCAGATTCTAGATTCAGAAGTTATAGTACAGAAACAACCTGATCAAGAAGAGACTCAACTTGCTTCAGCCAATGGTGGTGAACTTGAAAAATTGAATGATGCTTGTGTCTTATATTGTGAGAGATTCATGGAGTTCTTGATTGATTTGTTAAGCCAGCTACCAACACGGAGGTATTTTGGCAAAAGGATATTCTGTTTTATAATTTTCATTTGACACTCCTCTCCATTTCGTCCCCTCTACTCTCTCTTGATTCCTCTTCCACTCCCCTTTTATTTTAGCTACAGAGTCACAGGCTTCTTGTTTTTTTCTTTTTTGAATTTCCGAGCTGTATCTTTGTGTCTGTCTTCCAAAAATGGATTGACTCATTGATTGCATGTTAACTATCAGAACTTTATTTTATTTCTTTTATGGGAATACATGAAACCTGCAACCCATATATTTTCTCATTTATGACATATTTTGACTCTTGTTAGAACAAGCTTTACATTATGACTTTTTGTGACCTTTAGATGTTATTGGTAGTTCACGTTGCTTGGTTAAATATTCGTGACTGGTAGGAGACGTTCCTGAAATTTTCAGATTGTTTCTAGATATAGTCAATAAGATTGCTATGCAAGTTTGTGTCATTTTAGAGCACCCTCTGCCTTCCATCGTGAGGGTAAAAGTATTGTTAGAAAAACCGGCCGGCTAGTAGCTTGGAACTGCTAGGGTTCCGAGTCTAGTTAGGGGCGGTTTTGGGGATCTCCTAGCCTAGGGTACAACCTCAGAAAATTTCCGGCCCAAAACCTGCTGGTTAGGGGTCGACCCGGCTGTATTTTGGTCAAACTGGCTGGTTTTGGTGCTAATCGGACCTGTTAGCGAATGTAACGGGTTTTATGGTCAAATAACGGTATAGTTAGAATAATGCTCGTTATTTTCAATTGAAGCCGTTATTTGAAGCAGGAATTCACAGATCGATTTTTTCTAGCTTTTTCAAGCTTTTTTTTTTTAATTCTTTTTCCTCCCTTTTTTGGTGTTTTTCATGATTTGTAGCTGCAAAACACTATTTATTGTCTATAAAAAAACAAATTCGAATCCAAGATTGAAAAATCAGGAGGTTTTGTGAATTGAAATGGTGGATGTTCACGTCGTTTAAAATTTCCGCCATTTCATCAAAATATCATCTTCAATAGCCAATGGTTTTTGCTGAAATTTGAGGGTTTTTAATCCTAATCGAATTGTCTACCATATACCTCTTTCAATTTGTTCAAAAAACAAAAGATTGGGGGTTGATTTTTGCCCGAAAAGGTGTTGCTCGAAGAACCTGTGTTCGATCCAAAAAAATAGATTTGGATTATTTTTTGGTTGTTTTGTATCAAATTGATTTGTGTATTTTGATCATCAAGGCTTCATCTGTCACATAAAATAGGTATGCTTATTTATTATTGAGTAAATATTTTTAAATGAATTTTTTTCTTTTTCAATTTCACAGATATGAGTTTTCTTGTGTGTTGATTTGTTTGGTTATTCTAACATTGAGAGTTGTTTCTTGCTTGAAATGGTGCTCGGTTTAGGAGTTTTTAAGAAATCGATTTTTCAAAAAAAATTATTTTGCTTAATAAAATTATAATTTTTGCTGAATATGGGAAGTGTTTTTCTATTTTTCTTAATAAAATAATATTTTTTGATAAAATTATTTATTTTAATAAAAATATATTGTTTTGATTAATATGACAAAAACCTATTTGTATCGGCCTCTCTACCTTGTGACATCTTGTCTTTAACAGATGAATCTCTAGATGGACATGTAATAGTTGGTGGATCAATTTCTTTTCCATTGTTTCTAATGGTGATTAGCAGTATCTTGAAGTGTTGCAAAACTTGAAATTGGAGTGCGTAAACATATATGTGTGCTTGTATTTTTTAGTAATAAGCATATACTAATGTAATGTTTCTGTATAGCTGCAACACCTATACTATCTATAGTGCATATTTACATTGGGTAATACAGTTCTAGTAAGGTGTTGTAAACTTTATTATCAGACTTCATTCTAGGAAACAAAGAGATTTGTAACCTGCTTGGGATCATGTATATGACCATAGTATTCAAATATTAATTTATATAAAAAGTTGTTTCAATTTTTTTTTTTGTAAAATAAATGTATGTAATAAGATATTATATACACTTGATCCAAGTTTTTCTATTTTTTTTATTTTTTTGGGGGGTTTTTGACCCATTTCAAAAACAAATCTACTTGATTGGTTAGTTCAATTAACTGCCTCGGTTAGTCCGGTTTTGGTTCTAACTGCTCCCAGCCCCATGTCTGGTTAACCGTTCCGGTTCGATTTTACGAACACTGGGTAAAAGCTACTGACTTGGTTTGCGAACGTGCTTCAAGCAAGAAAATGGTAATCATTGTATGCATTGTTTTAAAATGCCGGTCCGATGCGGCGATGCAGTTTTGATGCGAATGCGTCACCCTAATGGGCTCAATAAATTTAAAAAAATTTAAGTTACAGAAAATAATAATGATGTATAGAAAAACATGAATGTGATTAATGTGATCGTAGGTATTTTAATTTAGTCAATATCTATAAGATCGAGACTTTGAGTCCCCCTGATGGCTTGATAAAGAGTATTAGAGTTTGTTGTTCTAACTTTGAAACTTTAATAATTCGAATATCTACATGATTAACATGTAAAACAACAATCCATTCCATCTCATATAAAATATCCAAAGTTCCAACTTCAAACTCTAGAGAGGCAAAAACAAAAATTTTATGATATATAAAAGAAAAAGATAATTGACCCTATTGAGAAGTCGTCAAATACTTGAACTACTTCTATCAATTCTTTTTGTCTCACTTTCTTCTTTTCTTTTGCTTTTTCTTGGCTATCTAAGTGTGCGTAATCTATTTTCCAATCTCATAGGTTGCTTGTGGGCATGCTTTAACATTTCCAGTAATACAGGCTAGGTGTTCCTTTTACTGTAAAATATCCCCATATAAGTATTCCAAAATAGAGTACAAATACTGCAATTTCAATCTTCGGATTTTGAGTTTAGGATATTTCCATACCAGATTCTTGTTAATTGAAGATGATGAAGACATTCCCCCTCCCACCAAAAAAAAAAATATATAAATATAGACAAAACAGTATTACAAAATGAAAAACCCAAAGAAATTTCGATGCGGGTGATGCACCACATATGCAGGCACGTCACATTTTTCCGCATATGTGGCATGGTGCGATGTGCTTCAGGCCGCATAATGCATTATGTGGCAACATTGTGTGTTATGTGGCCGCATTTTAAAACAATGATTGTATAACTGTTCCTGGCTGGGTCAATGAGTGTCATTCATAGTAAGTGATAGTTTCATTTAAAATGGAGAGAAGTTGTGAAGATTTCTGGATAACATCTAACAATTTGATGGTTGTGAGGCCAAGCCAGCTTTTCAGAAGTTATTTGCCTCTTAGGTTGGCATGATATCCCTGTGGATGATGGAGTATCAGGTCCCATATGAACAGAAAGTAATATATTGAAAGGGTAGAGAGCAGTAGTCCTTGGAGGAGGCATCTTGTTCTTGTTAGCTTTAATTAAACCTTTACAGAGGAAAATTCGGGAAAAATTTGTGAAAGTAAACAGTTTATGTTCCATTATTAACATGGTAGGAGATAAAACGTGCTAGAATGGAATCAGAAGTGGGCAAGTGTTGTTGCCTTCTAAAGTGGCCCTCTGGACAAGTGTTGGAAGTCTAATTGTTGCCTAGTTTTAAACTTAAAGAATGATAATGATGTGAAGAAATGTACAGTAAATTGAATAAAATAAATGGGTGGGGGTTTATGTTTTCTCCAAATGGAACTGATACTAATTAATTTCAACTAGTTTAATCGTAAAGTATATGGGGAGATGGTTGCATCCTAATACTCTATTTTATAGGACAAATAGAGCAGGAAAGCTGAATATCTGTTTATATGTTGCAGGGCTTCCATGTCTCTTTGTTTAGGAACTCTTTTTTGAATTTTCTTCACGTTTCCATATTCATGTGAGGATAGTGATACATACTATCAAACTATGAGAAGAGTGCAGAAACACATCGAGTGAATAACTCTGCAACATCATCAATGACAATTCTGGACGGCAGATTGGTTGTATTTGATTTGGTGATTGGGGAGTGTAGAAAAAAGAATAGTGGAAGTACCATAGTTACTGGGATCTCCTACTTTGGTAGGCGATCCCTTCTAGGATCTTGATTCTGTCGCTCCCATAACGGATCTCTCAGGGATCTTGATTTTTAAATTTTGGGATCTTGATCACCACTGTTAGGGATCTCAATTAGGGATCTGGGTTCCAACCTTAAGGACCAAGGCAACAACCAAACATATGATTTTCTTTGTTTATAGCCAGCTAGTGGTACAACCATACTTTTAATATAATTGCATTGCTTGCTATAAATAATGAGATCTCTACTTTAAAGAGTGTACGTATTCTTAGATTATCATGCATTTTAATGTTTATAGCAGGATCCCCAAGAAGTTGGGTTCAAGATCCCAAAAGGTCGGGATCAAGATCTCCAAAAGGTTGCAATTCGATTCGTAAAATTTGGGGATCTCGATCCCTAACGTATGCAATGTACGGACAACGTTCCCAACCATAGGGATCTTATAGCATTCCACGATCCCACGCTCTCTATCCCGGTCCCAGTACCATTCCTGCTTCCGCTCCCAATAACTATGGTAAGTACTTATAGTTCAATATTTCTCTGTGGTTTCTTCACTATGATTGTTTTTGTGATCTGCTTAAGGGCCTTGAAGAATGACCATTTATAGTAACTTTAAAGAACCTACTATCCATTAGGCTGAATGTATATGTGACCCAGTTAAAAGCAGCTCTGATTGTGGATCCATGCTTCATTGGCAGATAATACTGTACAGTGTTAATTTAGGTTTTATTGGCAATGGGCATTTTTTTTAATGTAGATTTTATTGGAAATGGCATTTTATTAGTCAAGATTTTGTATTGAATGCCTAGATTAAGTTACAGCATTTGATAAGATCCATGAATGTTTTCAAATCCTAGTAAGCTTCCTTGTTTTTTGATATTCACGCTTGTCTTTCTCTTTAAAGATGTTCCACCCCTTTTGGTGTGTTCTTATGGATTGTCACTTATTCTTTGATATGTTCTGATGTCTCTTTCCTGGATTCCTCCAATTTACTTTCGTTTTGTACCTTACTTCTTTGTCCCAGGTGACATAAATTTCTTTCAATATAAGTATTGTGTTCTTGGTTGATGTCATTGGGAAATGGTTCGTCTTACAATTATGACTATCTCGATTTTTTATGCTATTCTATGCTTTTCTGTTTCTACCTTCGCCCAGAAAGATTTTTATATCTGCACTATGCTTATCCATGCATTTCCTGACATGATAACTTAGCTTCACATTTGTGACGCATTAATTTTCATTGTTAAAGAAATTATCCCTCTTGATTTTTTTTTTTTCTCTTTTCCGGTTTCAGTTTCTCTATTTTTTTTTTTGTAGTTAAGGTTTGGTAAGAGGCATAGTTTATTTTAGTTGTGCTGGGCATGCCTATTGATAATTTAAATTATGCATATTCCAATCTTTCATTCTGGTTTTTGCAGATTTTTGAAACCTGTTTTTGCTGATGTTGCTGTTGTGGCTAAGTGTCATCTGAGTGCTCTGTATACTCATGCAAGAGGACGTCTTTTTGCACAACTGGTGGACCTACTGCAATTTTATGAAGGTTTTGAGATTGATGATCATTCTGGAACACAACTAACAGATGATGAATTCCTCATTGCTCATTATTCACACCTGCAAGCATTCCAGTTATTGGCATTTAAGCAAGTTCCCAAGGTTTATATTGTCCGCTTCCATGGATTATTGTGATTGTGAGCTTGATCAAATGGTCGTTGCTTTATATTCTGTGCTAGACATTATTTCTGACTTTCTTTTGTGATGAATGTAGCTGCGGGATCTTGCATTGGCCAATATCGGTGCTATTGACAAACGAGCTGAGCTCACAAAGAAATTGTCTTTATTATCTTCTGAGGAGCTTGAAGACTTGATATGCACAAAGGTTTGTAACATGTATGTGTAAGGTTCTCACCTGTTCATGATTGGCATAATCTTCCTTTTTCTTTGTATTCTTTTTTCTAAATGGGAAAGCTAGTTCAGGTCACTCAAAAAAAGAAAAGTTCAAAAACGAGAATGGATATATCAATTACTCTGAAGGAATATTCAGAAAAACTTCTTGTTGGCTACCCATTGGAAAAAGACTTCGTAATTCCTGTTGGATTTTATTTTAAATTGATAATTCGTGAGAAAATTTTGCATAAAAAAGTATTTCTTTGTTTTGTAGTAGTGTTTCTAACTTAAGAAATTGTTACACAAATCCATCGTAGAGAAAATATTCCTCCATACCCTCAGGAAAGACATTCTACCCTCGCTTATGACATAAAGATTTCCGGAGTTTGATGCCCTACGATGGTGATGGGCTCAAGTTATTAAGGATTTTGAATGACTTGCATCCTGATTGCTGGATGTTTCTAGGTCATTGTACTCTCTGAGTTAGTATATTTGGTTCAGGGGTTGACCTAGTGCTCTCTGTTTGTTACTATTAAACAGTTGAGAGGAAATTCATAACGCATAAAAGGTGCCATGTTTTCTTATTGTACAATTTTGTACACACTTCATTGTGATTTGGCATGTTTGTAATCATATTTCATGACATATCTTCATTTTTATTATATGCAGAATGTATGTTTGTTTCAAATTGTTTGTTGTCGCTTTGTTTTAAGTTATCTTGGTTAGATTGAATGATGCCTTTGTTTTTTTTTCCACAGCTCAAACTGATTAGCAAGGATGATCCATGGGTTAGACGACCAGACTTTTTGTTTGAAGTGATTGTTTCCTTCTTTGAGAAACGACAGTCCCAGAAAGAAGCCATAAATGCGCTCCCCCTTTATCCAAATGAGCAGATAATGTGGGATGAAAGTCTTGTCCCCAGCATCAACTACTCTGGGGAAGGATGCTTAGCTCTCCCTAAACTCAATCTACAATTTCTGACTCTTCATGATTATCTCTTAAGGAACTTCCATCTCTTTCGTTTGGAATCAACTTATGAAATCCGTGAAGATATTCAGGAAGCAGTACCACATCTTCTTGCATATATAAATAACGAGGGGGAAACAGCTTTTCGTGGTTGGTCAAGGATGGCAGTGCCCATTAAGGAGTTTAAAATCACTGAGGTTAAACAACCTAATATTGGAGAAGTCAAACCATCTGCTGTTACTGCGGAAGTTACATTCAGCATTTCCAGCTATAAAGCACACATAAGATCAGAATGGAATGCACTTAAAGAGCATGATGTGTTATTTTTACTTTCTATTCGTCCTTCTTTTGAGCCACTCAGTACAGAAGAAGCTGCACAGGCAAGTGTACCAGTGAGGCTTGGTCTTCAATATGTACGAGGTTGTGAAATAATTGAAATTCGAGATGAGGAAGGGACTCTTATGAATGATTTTACTGGAAGGATTAAAAGAGATGAATGGAAGCCACCTAAGGGTGAACTGCGTACTGTGGTGGTGGCCCTGGACACAGCCCAATACCACATGGATGTAACAGCTATAGCAGAGAAGGATGCAGAAGATGTTTATGGGACATTTAACATTTTAATCAGAAGGAAGCCCAAGGAAAACAATTTCAAAGCAATTTTAGAGAGTATACGAGACCTTATGAATGAATATTGCATTGTCCCAACGTGGTTACATGATATATTCTTGGGTTATGGGAATCCTTCTGCTGCTCAGTGGACCAACATGCCTGATATCTTGGATATAATCGATTTCAAGGACACCTTCATCGATGCATCTCATTTGATTGACAGCTTTCCTGGGTACCAGGTTGGTGTACCTTCCAGTTTCCTTTGTAATTTCTTTCTGTTATTTGTGACGTACTTCGAAATGATGGCGATTCATGAGTTACTGTATACATGATGAGATGTGTGTCGCTTCATGACACTTCTTTGTGCTTTCCTAGGCTTGTTTTGTGAAGGCAGATGGTACTAATGACCCAAGTCCAAAGCCTCCATTCCGGATAAGGCTTCCTGCTTCATTACAGGGAAGTGCACAGGCACTTCCAGGTAATAGTAAGGGCACTTCAAAAGTTGATATGGACAATGGAGATATGATGAGCATGCCTCTCAAAGAAGAAAAAATTGTGGTCGAGACGTATGTGCCTCCCTATCCTGGGCCCTATCCACAAGATCAGCCAAAGATGAATACAGTCAGATTTACTCCCACTCAGGTGCTAGAATGCTTCTATTTTCCATATTGTTTGCATCCAATCTCTGAAATCTAGGGGGTGTTTTTTATTTTTGAGACCATCTCTGTTTCGACTGCTTTTGTAAATCCATGGTATAATTGTTATCTCAAATACTCGAGCAATTTTCATGGCATGATATTCAATTTGTGAATGTCAATGATGTGTTTTTAGGGGTCAGCACTGTCAAAAAAGATTTTAAATATTTTGGGTGCAGTTTACTTCTTTTACTGGAACAATGGAAGTAGAAATGGTGAGTTTGACCTGTGCATTCGGGCTTGAGGTGTAGTGGCATAGACTCTTAGGACCCTATCACCCTTGACAGGCTAGGATACCAGTATCTACACGGTCAATGGGTGCATGGGATATCCAGCTCTGAGATGCTTGCCTGTACTCTGAAGGAAGGGGTGTTTCTAGTCTTGCAGTGCTGGTGGCACAGCTGGTTTTGCACGGCTATGGATTGAAGATCCATGGCATTATGGGATTCTTTTTTTTTTCACACCTGCCTGTGGGCTTGCCAATGTCAAGACATGTGTGCCTGCATATGTATGCATACACTTCCTTGTATGGTTTGTGTGATTTGTTGTTGAGGGAATTTGGGGTTTGGAGATTGCCCATGTATTCTGTAGCAGAATCTGTATACAATGTGAGTAATATCCACCCAAATCTTTAACAAGTCATTGTGTTCATTTATCAGGTTTGAATATCGATTTTAAATTTTCGAGTCTTGCGGTACATATGTTCAGTTCCTTTTTCTTGATAAGTAATTTGGTTCAGTCCATATATGGAAAGTGAATTATGATATAGTGTGACCTGTATGATGGATGTTATGTACATGGGCTGAGAACCGAGTGGGGAAGTCATGAACTTACATTTAAAAGTGCACAGATCCATGCAATTGACATACTATTAATAGAGAATGGAGCATAATACTTTTCTTTTAAACTCGACTTCAAAACAGTTGCTTCTTGCGCTCAGATAATTGTTGCAACTTGGTAGGATATTGTATGGGGTATTTAATTACTAGTACTGGCAATCTATTAGTTTGAACTTTGAACATCTTGGGGAGTGATATTTGTCTGGCATGGTTATGATGGTGGTATGGGCATGTAGGTGAAAATCTACCTTTCTTCTGTTGGCCGCTGCTTATTCTTTATGGATGTGGCCTTGTGATTGAGACTTTTAAGAAGTCCATATTCTGTGCCTTGGTATGTTGTTGGAGCTGATGGTGAACAATCAGGGACCCTTGTTGTTATGGTGGCCATATGGTTTTCATTAATATGATGGTTGTCTTGACCACAATGCTGCTCCTGCCCCAACCCGCCCTTTCAAACAAAAAAATTTGGAGACTTTAGATTCGTGACATATCTCTTTGGTGGTGCATGAGTTTCCTTGGATGGTTTAACTTTATCCTGATTTGGGTTCTGAAAAAGAGCTTCATGCTTTACTTTTGGGGTCAGCTCTGTTGATGAGCTGGCATATTGGTTTTTTCTGAAAAAGAGGCATGTTATTTGATTCCTTTTCTCCATATTTTATGATGTATTTGACCAGCTGAAATTGGATATGCTAATGCTTTAGGAGCTTTTGTAAATTTAGAATTTCCAGCCGTAGAAAAGTGTGTAGCTGTTTTCTTTTGTCTATATCTATTCATGAAAAGGGTGTGAACTTATAAAGTTGAACATTTACTTCTCATAATGTCCTTTTTTATTAACAACAACATATTTTTGTGTTTGTTGCTCTTCTGAACTCTACTTTCTGTTTGGCAGATAGGAGCAATCATCTCTGGAATTCAACCAGGCTTGACCATGGTTGTCGGTCCTCCAGGTACCGGGAAAACAGATACGGCTGTGCAGATCCTGAATGTTCTATATCATAACTGCCCTTCTCAGAGAACTTTGATTATAACTCATTCCAATCAGGCCCTAAATGATCTTTTTGAGAAAATAATGCAGGTATTGGACTAATAATCCCTGATGCTTAGACAGATGAGTGTTGACTAAGTTTCAGATTCTGGTGAGCATGGTTTGTCTCAACCTGAATAAGTGATGACTGCATTTTGAGGGAGAAGGTAGTTCTTTGAGCTATCTCCTAAGTGTAACTATCTGAATGTGGTGGTCTGATGTATCTTTTTAGCTCTCTGCTAGTCAAATTGAGACCCCACCCAAAAACAAAAGGCACAAATTATTCGGTCCTGGTCTTTCTTTATGAGCTTATCACTTTGTCCTAACCCTGTCAATTATGCTCGTTTAGAAGGAACAATTTATTTCATTTCTTCTCCTTTCAGTTCAATTTTGTACTCTTTTTTGGAAGTTTTAAGCATATTCTTTCTCAGCTAAACACAGAGGTTCTAAATGTAATAATTCATGTTACTTTATGATGTCAAGAGTTTTAGGAGATTGAGAAGATCTTTCTTGGTTTTCGGTTGCATTAATTTTTTCTAGATTCTTGCTGAGGTTGTGGAAGGTGTGAATATTGGGGCATTCTTCTGTCCTTAGCGCACAACAGTACATCTGTTTACTCTTTATAATTAGGAGTTCTCGATTATATTGCAAAATGAGTGATCCCTTATGAGCCCATCTGCGAAGTGGAGCATTGTGGTTTTGGATTGTTGGAACCACTTTAATTATAGGGAAAGCTCAGTGATAGGGTCTATTGCCTTTTGCTTTTTTCTTTTGACTAGGTGACAATTAGTGGTATGGGTAACTGTGGCTAAACAGTATCCTATGGGCACTTGAAACTTTTACCCTGTTAGCTATTTTGTATGTGCAAGAAAATCGTCCCTTAAGTTCACATTCAAGTTTTCGAATGAATGTACTATTTGTGAGGAGAATCACATTTTGTATGTGTATTCTTATGCACATCAATGAAATTTAAGGTTAACCATAAAAGCAAAAGATGAAAGAAAGAGAAGCAAGAAAATGATTATTCATGCTCTGGTGGTATCTTTCTGAAGGAAGGGAGGAATAGAATATGAAATCGACAACTAATATATCTACTTTCAAGGAATATGACAATGCATGGTTATGGACTTGTTAGGTGGAGGGTATCTTTATATGCTTTATTTTTAATGCCACTAAAGAAATTGCTTGAGGTGAGAAGACTATATGTTACCCCACCTGTGGACATTTCAGTCAATATGAGCTGGGACATTTGCCTTGGGTTCTGAAGGAGGCCACAAAATATGCTCAGTATATTTAAACTTCTAAATTTATTTCATGGTTAGATCTTGTCTAGGTGGCCCTAGGCATAATTGTCTTTTCAAATGTTCTAGAAGTGATGAATGCAAAACAACTTTAGAAGCACTTTGTGTACATTTATTCATATTTGGTTTTTGTGATTCTTTTTTTGTTTGTGCTGCACATTGTATAAGATAACACTTGCACATAAAAACACCCATGAGTGGATTTCCACAGTACACTTCACTCATAGCTCATAACCATCTAAAGTCCATCATACAGTCATTGTTTATTTTTGGGAAGAGTTTATTTAGTATTAATGGTATAGAGCTTTACAGACAAGTCAGTCCCCCTAGGGGGGAGCTCAATACAACCCTGAAGGGTTCAAACAAGAATAAAAGATGGCAGAGGTCCACCAAAAATGGCAAAAAGGCTAAGGCACTTCCCAGTTGTTAGATTGGGCCCCTCCTTGGCTAAAAAGTTTGCTTCTGAGTTGGCTTCTCGGAATACATGGCACCAAGAGATTGAAATACCCCGCGACAGGTGTGAAATCTCATCAAAGACATCATCTAGACGCCAAGGGCAGGGAGATTAGCCGGAAGCTCACGAAATAACATTCTTCGAATTGCCTTCGACCACCAAGCAGGAGCCCCAAGTGTCATCAAAGCTTTGCAGTCCTTTCAGCAGGGCACGAGCTTCAACCATAGTAGATTCAACTAATCCGATGGGGCAGGAGAAGGCTAACAAAACATACCCTCAGTGGATCGGAACAAACCACCTACACCCGCTGGGCCAGAATTACCAAGGGAACAACCATCGAAAGCTAGCTTGATGGAACCTAGCTCTGGTGGTCTCCATACTGCTGCCCGTGGATTTTGGGAACATGAAGGAGGTTTGCCCAATTTCTATGAAAGTCAGTGGCAGAGAAGTCTTTGAACAGCTTATGATTGGAGGCCCAAAAAGCTACCAGGGTTGTTACTCTTATCAGCCAAAGCCGTGGTCGAAGCTCTTTCTCCTCTAAAAATCCTGTGATTTCTTTCAATCCATAGGACCCACAAAATGGCAGCCATTGTGGCTTTCCAAAGTTCTCTACTTGCCTTAGGCCAGGGCGAATGAAGGTAGGCCGGGAAGAGGTGGGGAACAGAGCGTGGGGTGACCCAGGACCACTGAAATAGGCCCAAAACAGAGGTCCATAAGGTTCTAGCGACCCCACAGTGGAGGAATAGATGAGCATTAGTTTCCTCCTCCTCCATACACAGGGCACATCTATTGGGGCATTGCAATCCTCACCTTTGCAGTAAATCTACAGTCAAAATCCTTTCATGGATTGCAATCCTACTAAAGACTTGAATTTTTGGGGGCAAGAACTGGTTCCAGGCTTTAGATAAAAGAAAAGGATCAGGCCAGCAGTTATGGAATTAGATGTGAGAATGGTATAAAAAGAAGATTGAAAAAATTCCAGAAGGGGATGATTCCCAGACGATCTTGTCTACTCTAGAGGCAGGAAGGAAGACTTGAGTGTAGGATTTCTGCCAAGGCTCCGAAGTCATCCACTTCATTGTCATTGAGTCGTCTCCTGAAATTTGGCGACCAAGTTCGAAGAGAACTCGAAAGCCCAAAATTTTTGACCACAGTTGAGGGTGGGTAACTAGCTATCGGATGAAGGGTGGGAAACTGATCCCTCAAGGGTGTATGACCAACCCATTTGTCATCCCAAAACAGTACCCTTGTCTCATCTCTAGGTCGAAAGCGAATATACCTCGAGAATTGGTCTTGGCACCATAAAACAGATCTCCAAAACCCAGAAATAACACCAGTGGACCTGCAGTTCGGAGTCCAATGATCGTCCCCATAGCAATATTTGAATTTGATCACCTTTCTCTAAAGGTGGTTTTGATGAGTGGGGTATCTCCACCACTTGCCTTAAGAGGACGTTGCTGTGAGCTATGAGGCTGTGAATACCCAAACCCCCTTGGGCTTTTGACAAGCAAAGTTTAGGCCATACGACTAGATGGTATTTGTTTCCATGCTCCCCTCCCCAGAAGAAATCCCTCATCATTTGCTCCAATCTACCGGCTATTGCTTCCGGGATTCGAAATAAGGACATATGAAATATTGGTGTGTTAGCCAGAGTGGCTTTGATGAGGGTTAACCTTCCTGCCTTCAGCCAAAATCTTCCTGTCCGTCCTGCAAACCTCTTGGTCAAACTTAGCAATGATATGGCTCCATTGAGTAAGCCGTGGCATCCCAAGGCAGAGAGGTAGACCAAGGTAAGATGAGGGGAGCTTCTCAACCGAACATCCCCATCTATCGGCTAGAAATTGAATGAAAGATGGGTTAGTGCAAACCCCCACCATCTTGGACTTGTTGAGATTTGCCTTAAACCCGGTGGCCATTTCGAAGCACTTGAGATAAATCCTTAGAATATCAACATGCTGTACTGAAGCGCCGTAGAAAATTAAGGTGTCATTTGCGTATTGAAGATGGGAGATAAGGGGACCCCGACTATTAGATTTGAGACCACATAACAGGTCTGCTTGGTAGAGCTACTAGATAGAGGTGCTAAAGACCTCGGCCACAATTGCGAACAAGAACAAAGACAAAGATCTCCTTGGCGGAGTCCTCTGGAGGCGGAGTCCTCTGGAAGCGGAGAAGAGACCTTCTGGGGTTCCGTTAATGAGAACGGAAAAGATTGGGCTAGAGATGCAACCTTTGATCCACCCTCTCCACTTGGCCCCAAAAGCCATCCTTCTCATGGTTTCATCCAAAATATCCCAATCAACATGATCATAAGCCTTCTCCCAATCTAGTTTTATAACCAGTCCCAGGGTCTTCGAACAAGAGCAAGAGTGGATACACTCATGTGCAATAAGAGCCCCATCCAAAATTTGGCAGCCCTTGACAAATGCACCTTGGGTCGGAGAGATGACCGAGTGAAGCACAACCCTAAATCTGGAAGCAAGGACTTTGGACAGTAGTTTGTAAGTCCTATTGACCAAGCTAATAGGTCTGAAGTCTTCCAGCTTTTCAGCCCCTTCAATCTTGGGGATTAATGCGAGGAAGGTTGCATTCATAGCCTTATTGATGACCCCTCTAGAGTGAAATTCCGAGAAGAATTCCAACATAACAGGGCATATGAGCTCCCAAAAGGTTTTAAACAGTGTTTCAAAAAGTGCTAGGTGGCACCTAGGCGGTCGGGGGGGTTCAGGCCTCCCAGTGCCTAGGTGGGCCCAGTATAAATTTTTTTTTTTGGGGTTTTTCTCTTTCTGAAATAGGCTCTAATGAGTTTTAGGTTTTAAATGAACCTAAAATCCACAATTTTGCACCTTTAGCATTAAAAAAAATGACCCAAAAATACCTTCAACGAGAGGCATTTTTGCCCCTGGGTGGAGTGCAAGCCTTGGGTGGCTGCCTAGGTGGGGTTCAGGTGGCCGCCTAGGCGGTTTCTCGGGCACCTAGGAGGGTGTGTAGGCATATCCGCTTTTTTTTGGGCGCCTAGGCCTGGGCAATGCGCGCAAGCCCCCATAACTGCCTCGGCGGCCGCCTAGGCATTGGGAGGTCCGCTTTTTGAAACACTGGTTTTAAAGGAGGTTATAGGGTAGCCATTCGGCCCGGGAGCACGGTCGGGGGCTCAAATCCTTAGAGCCAACAGAATTTCAGTCTCTATGAAGGGACGTTCCAGCCATGTCACATTAATGGGAGTAAGGGATTAGAAGGATATATCGTGCATAGTGGGTCTCGGGCCATGGCATGAAGAGAATAGATTGGAGAAGAAACGCATTGCTGCCTGCTCTATCTGATGGGGTTGGTCTAGGACCCCATTGTTGACCTTGAGATGGGTAATGGCATTTTCGCGTCTTCGACAGTTAGCTATCTTATGGAAGTTGCATGTGTTCAAGTCTCCCAACTTTAGCCATTTGACCCTTGCTCTCTATGCCCAATAAACCTCCTCCTTATGAAAAGTGTCGTGGTAACCAAGCTTAGCTGTAGCACACAGATCATGTTCAGCTGGTAGCAGGGGTCTTAATTCCTCCTCAGACTCCCAGGATTGGATGTCTTGGATCAAAGCCTCCTTTCAGCTCGAAAGTTCCCTGGGTGCTGTCCCTTCCAAATTTTCAACTTCGATTTCAGCATTTGCAACTTTCTTTGTACCTTGAATCCTGACTATCCCTGTACTACAAAGGAGCTCTATGAATCCGCCACAAATTGATTGAAATTGGATTCCTTAATCCACCAAGATTCAAACCTAAAGGGCTTCAGGCCTCGTTGGATGGCTTGAGTATCGAGCAAACTAGAGCGATGATCGGAGGTTGTCTTGGGTAAGAGTGTCGAATGAGTACCAGGGAAAGTGTGATCCCATTCAAGGTAGGTGATGAAGCGGTCAAGCTTAGAGAGAGAGGGGTTAATGGAATGATTCGACGAAGTAAATTGGGCTCCTTCAATGGGTATGTCGATGAGGTGGTTGTGAGATATGAAATTAGAGAGCTGCACCATGCTCAGGGAAATGGAGTGGTTTGAATTATGCTAATGAGACCACCGCGTGACTTTAAAGTCCCCCCCGCGCCCAAACACCAAGGGGCTGGGGACCTGGTGGAGATGGCTTGTAGATCAAGCCCAAAAGGAAGACCTAAGATTGTCGGCATTGGGTCCATAGACGACAGTGCATTTCCAGTGTAGCCTATGAGAGACCCTGGAAAGGATCGCCGTAACTGAGAAAAGGCCTATAGCAGAATCTAGCAGATCATGTAGGGTGGGATCCCAAAGGATTCAGATGCCACTCGAAGCACCTTGTGCTTCCAGAGCAGTCTACCTGCTAGGCTTGAAGCCCCAAATGCTTCGAATATCAGAACGAGTGGGAGAAGGCAGTTTGGTCTCACACAGAGCCAAGAGGGACTGCATAGCACACAGTTCTTGCACCGCATTTCCTTTGAGTGGTTGGCCTAGGCCACAGACATTCCACCTTAATCCTTTCATTGGGAGAAGGATGACGTATGGGTCCTCCTTGAGTAGGAAGGGAGTTGAGAAGGGGTTGCTGAGGCTGAGTGGTTAAGAGCAGAAGGACGAGGGGTAAGGGGTTGAGAAAGTCCAGAGTAAAAGTTGACTCCAAAGGCTAGCAGGTTATCCAATTCCCACTTTGACTTTATTTTTTTGGTAGTGGAGGATGAGACTAAATCGGCATTGATGAAGTCTTTTAGGGCTGGGGGCCCATTGAATTTGAAGCCCATCACTCTCATGACCTCTTGAGGGTCACCTTGTGCTCGGAGCAGGTCATGGAAGAAAGTGGAGTCAACCGAAGTCAGAGAGTGAGATAAAGAGCTTGTGGGGGAGAGTCGAGAGGAATAAGGAGAAAGGGTTGACCCCTCTAGGGGAGGAGCGCCACAGGGTGGAGGGCTGTAGTCACAGGAAACAGGGGTGGAAGGGTGAGAGTTTAACCTGGAAGGGACCTCTGAAAAAGGGGGATAAGAATGTGTAGAGGGGTAGGAAAGGGGGTTATGGGGGAGAGAAGCATTGGGTGCAGGGCTGATCTCATTAGGTGGGTTGGGGTGGATGAATTGAGATTGCGACATCACCTCCTTGGGGGAATTAAAGGTGGGATCTGGACAGATCGACTGTTTGGGATTGATCTCACCATTTTTGTCACAAGACGAGGAAAATAGAGGAGAGAGATGGATCTTACTGTCTAGGGGATCCACGATACAGGATAGGCCCCAAACTGTCCCTTACAACCAAGGATTCATCGACCGAGTGGGGGGAGGGGGGGTCCACCACAGTCATGATTGTCGAGGGTAACTCCAAAGGGCCCACCAGGGGGAGAAGGGGTGAACTCAACTTCCAGATAGACGTGAAAGGTGAGGCTGCCTGTTTCAATCCGAGAGGCTGTGAGGGTGGAGGGTTTGCCAAAGGGGTGTCTTGCGTCGTAGGCAAAGGTAGAGAGAGGTTCGTAGATGGAGAGGCCCCATAGGAGGAAGACCCTGGGAAGGGCCCACACTGTGGTGGTAAGTCGAGGAAGGGTACAAGGCTAAGGCCCGAATGAGATGGGCTAGGGGTGACCATCGGATAAGGGTTACCCTTGCCCCTTGGCACAAGATGAGGAGAAAGTTGGTTGAGAGGGCTTAGAGCGTGAGCAGTGAACAAGGGGACGGGTCTACCGTGGGATGGAGAGATCCTTGTCCTTGAGGAGGCTGCGGGATGGGTGGGCTTGAGTAAGTAACCACCGTCGGACGAATAGATCCACTGTAGGATGAAGAGATCCTTGTCCCTAAGGAGGCTGCGAGATGGGCGGGCTAGGGTTAATAAGCACCGTTGGATGGAGAGGGCCTTTACTGCGAGGGGTTTGCAAGATTGGTGGACTAGGGGCTAATGCTTGAACACGTGTCAAATCTCCAGAAGAGGTAGCAAGGTGGTTGGTGGAAAGTGGTCTAGCAGTCAGGCACCTGTCAGCCACTCCTTCACTTGGACGCTTGTCATTGGCTGCTGTGGCGGCTGCCATGTGGGTGTGTACGGTACTGTGCGTGGAGCCTAAGGCTTGTACCTTACGGTATGCCGAGCTGGATGGGTTTCTATGGACTTTTGGCGCTCGATATTGGAATATTCGACGCGTAGCCCGCCTGCGAAGGACCTAGCGTTGACCATCTCCATTTGCTAAGGGGCAAATCGTGGTGGTTGCTTGTAATCCTTATAGGCCCTTGGATTTCTTAATCGACGGCCACGAGTCACCATGGTCCACTCCTCCGTAGCTTGCTGAACGAGGTATCGTGGTCTTGACCCAGCAATACCAAGGTCCTGAACATGGCAAGACCGGGGGGGGCGTGGGGGGAAGCCTTCACCCAGGGAACTGGGATGCTGAAAAACAGCCCGTATGCCTCGAGCCACAGGTGGTTGGGGACCTGTTCCGGAATGAGAACTTCAACCAGGACTCGAATGAACCAAGCGGCAGTGAGGCATCTGAAGGCTAGTGGACCGAGATGAATCTACCACATGCTTCCCCAATCTTTTGGAAGGTTTCCACGTTCCAGGCTTGTAGTAGGATGTGGGTGGCTGTAAGCCAGAGCTTTCCGATAGTATTTTAATTTTAATTTTTCTATAAATCTGATTTATTTGAAATTTGGGGCATGTACATCTTACCCACTCGCACAAAAATAAAATATCAAAAAATTATTATTGAAAAGCAAAATGATGAAAATACCCCTGAAATATTCCTAGAGGTAATTTGTTTAATTTTATGATTTGAATTATTTTTTTTAATATTTATTTAGATGTGCCTCACTGAGTTGTAGACACCTAAATAATTTGAGGTTAATCTGATTTATATAAAAATTATGAAAATTCAAACCACCATCAGACAATCGTGACCATTATGATGAGCCGTGAGTGAAATATTTTAGAAGTTTACTGATGAGTGTCTTAAAGCGTTTTTGTACACACACACACATTAATGGTGGGCACTTCATATGGTATTACATGCGAATGTATTCAATGAGACCTTACTTTTGTACAAAAAGGTAAAAATCGTAAGCGGTCACCCATAATTTGCTTTTCAAAGATTCTGAAAGTGATGAATGGAAAATAGCTTCAGAAACACTTGTACATTCATTCATGTTGGGTTTTTATGATTTTTTCATTTGAGTTGCGTATTGTCAGCACATCATTTGGTACTATATGCAACTGCATTCAATGACTCTTTACCTTGGTACATAAAGGTAAAAAACATTCTAAATTGGCAGATTTGAAACCTGACATTTATTATTCTGGATAGTACAAGAAAATTTTCTAGGTCTTAAGCATGGACATTGGCAGACACCTGTCCATCCAATTTCACATTTGACAGCTTGGGTTACTTTCCACCTTTTTGTCCCAAAGATGAACAATATCATTGAATATCTTCTCATTTGTATTGGGATTTGTTACGTACTGGTCCTCTTTGACTACGATCACAATTTTATTCTCCTCATCTTTGCCTTGCTCTTATAATTTATCTTTTTGACAGAGAGATGTTCCTGCTCGATACCTTCTACGTCTGGGTCAGGGAGAGCAAGAGTTAGCTACTGACCTTGATTTTAGCCGGCAAGGTCGTGTCAATGCAATGCTTGTACGTCGGATAGAACTGCTCACAGAGGTTGAAAGGCTTGCAAAATTACTTAACCAGCCAGAAGATGTGGGCTATACATGTGAAACCGCAGGCTACTTTTGGTTGCATGTGTACTCTCGTTGGGAACAGTTTCTTGCTGCTTGTGAGCAGAATCGAGAAAAACCAAATTTTGTCAAAGATAGATTTCCATTTCAAGAGTTCTTCTCGGGCACACCTAAGCCTATATTCACAGGAGAATCATTTGAGGCAGATATGCGTTCAGCAATGGGCTACTTTCGCCATCTTAAAACCATGTTTCAGGAACTTGAAGAATGCAGAGCCTTTGAGCTTCTGAAATCAACAGCTGATAGGGCGAATTATCTGATGACCAAACAGGCGAAGATTGTGGCGATGACCTGTACCCATGCAGCATTGAAGAGGAAGGATTTTCTTCAGTTGGGTTTTAAATATGACAATTTGCTTATGGAGGAAAGTGCACAGATTTTAGAGATAGAGACATTTATTCCAATGTTACTTCAACGACAGGAAGATGGCTATGCTCGGCTTAAACGTTGTATACTGATTGGTGATCATCATCAGTTACCTCCAGTAGTAAAAAACATGGCCTTTCAGAAATATAGCCACATGGATCAGAGTCTTTTTACAAGGTTTGTGCGATTAGGAATTCCATATATTGAACTTAATGCTCAGGGTAGGGCACGGCCAAGTATTGCCAAGCTTTACAATTGGAGGTATAGAGATTTAGGAGATCTTCCTTCTGTGCAAAGAGAAGAAATATTCCATAAAGCAAATGCTGGTTTCTCTTACGAGTATCAACTTGTAGATGTTCCTGATTACAATGGAAGGGGTGAGTCAGCCCCTTCTCCTTGGTTCTATCAGAATGAAGGAGAGGCAGAATATGTTGTCAGTGTTTACATATACATGCGCTTACTCGGGTACCCTGCAAATAAGATATCTATCTTGACTACTTACAATGGTCAAAAGCTTCTGATACGTGATGTCATCAACCGGCGGTGCACAAATGGTATTGGTCCACCAAGCAAGGTAGGTTATAAAGAAAGATGTTCTTGAGTACTTTTTTTTAAAAAAAATAATTCCATTATCATCATCTTTCTTCGTCGCCATTGTTATCATCAACATCATTGTTTTTGTTGTTGTTCTTCTTTTTCTTATTATTATACCCACTTCATATAACCAGAATTATTATTGTTATGCCCATTTCGCATAACCACAAGGAAAAATAATTGAAAATTCATTGCTTTTTATGATACTCTTACCCCCCACACAGATTATTACTTTAGCTTGGTTGGCTCTATTGGGATGGTGTAATTAAAATGGTTTTCTTTGTTTTACAGGTCACAACAGTTGACCAAATTAGAAAATGATATTGAAAATTCATTGCATTTTACGATACTAATTTACTCCTACCGACCACAAATAATACTAGTTTAGTTTGATTGGCTCTATTGGGATAAGTGTAACTGTAATGGGTTTTCTTTGTTTTACAGGTTACAACAGTAGACAAATTTCAAGGTCAGCAAAATGACTATATTTTATTGTCCCTTGTACGCACCCGTTTTGTGGGTCACCTTCGAGATGTTAGAAGATTGGTTGTCGCCATGTCTCGAGCAAGACTAGGACTATATGTGTTTTGCCGCCGTTCTTTGTTTGAACAATGTTACGAACTGCAACCAACATTTCAGCGATTGCTTCAGAGGCCTGATCAGCTCGCTCTTAATATGGATGAGACCACTCCATTCACGAATCGTGCACTTGGTGAGACAGGCAGGATTCATTTTGTAAGTGGCATCCAGGAGATGGACCATATTGTTAATTATATGATGAACCATATTGTTAATCATATGATGTATCAGGTATGCCTTGTCTCTCAATGTTCATTATTGTTGTTCATCTGCATGTCAATTTGAACAGTAAGCCACAAAGCACTGTTACCAGGTGTTCCTCTTGGATTTTTCGATGACTTTTTTAGTGGTCATATTTCAGCTATGACTTGAACCCAACCGAGGTTAACCATCCAGGTTGGGTCCAGGTCCAGCTGATCCTGGTCCGTCTATGTCCACCCATTGAGGTCATTCGATTTGGTCCGGGTAGGGTCAACCTGACTTTACTCCCATCGTTTTACACCCCTAAGGAGCATATGTTTTTACCAATTTCTTGTAGGCAGCAAATTCCTTTGAAGAGGTGTTATGAGAGGGATAAGCATATATGATCTTGAAGCTACTAACCTTAAAAATAAGGGAAGATAAAGAAAAAGCTAATTAATCTTTCATGTGCCCTATATCTGTGATACCGTCTGGATGCTTTCCGTAGTTCAGCTTAGGTTGATTTATCGTAGTGTTGATAGATTTGTGCCGTGAAATTTGGTGAGCTTATAAATCTCCTCTTGATAATACAGGCACAAGCAGCTGCTTATTCCTCTTATGTCCAACAAACACAAGCTTCTAAAATGGAAGCTCTAGATAAGAATGGTAGCATTCATCCAGAGACATCTGCCTCTATGGCTTCTGATATGCCACTTGAAAATGGTGAAAGGGATGTGCCTGTGGAGAGTGGCACGATCGAAGAGCCCTCTACCGCCACCAACATGCAGGAAGAAAGTGAGGAAAAAGATGCCACTCCTGAGAATGGCGCGGAGGAAGACTCTAAGATGGAGGAGTGAAGTCAAATTGCTTGGCTTTTGAGACCAACCAGCTTGTATTTATATTGAATATTGATGCATTTTCTTCCTGTACGTGATTCGTGGCACAAGGCATTTGTAACTAAAACGCGTCTCTCTCTATCTCGGCCATTTGTCCTGGTGTTAAAGGATAGGATGAGGTGAGTTACTTATCTAACAAGTTTAAAGGTTTTGGTGCCATTGTTGCTTCCCACGCTTGATTGAATTGCGTGATGGTACATGTACCTTACCAATCACAAATATTTATTGAGGTTTGAGGGAGGTATTAATAGCATGTGCTTGGGCCTAAACTCTCCATCTTCCGTACGACCCATTTGCTTTGTTTCATTTTCACTCGGTGTAGTTGGGCATTACATGCATCGAACATGATACTTATCTTCTCGGACTGGATGCAAATGACCACCTTTTGTTTTTAGCTTCCCTTTCGCTATGGATACCTAAAACAATAAAAGTGTAGGTTTAGGTGCACCCCTCCCAATTAAAGTGAGCCCTTCCTTTCGAATCCATCTTTGATGTGTTTTGGGTCTAAAATTGTACATGTCTATCATCTTAACCACAACAATAATGAATCTGAAAAGAAAAAAACAAAGGAAAATAAAAATGATTTCGAGCCTTATTTTTGTATGCCGGTTGCACATAGAGGGGTTACAGGTGAAATTCCTGTGGAATGGGGCAGGGGAGAGATTTCACTTGTAGCCTGGGACACAGTTGACATTAAATGATGACGGGGGCTTTGGACCTACAAAGCTAAGAGAGGTAAACAGAGCACGGCTTTGGAGATTTGTGACAAATAAGAACCATCTCTGGCTTCAGGTGATCGCGAGCAAATATGGAACCATGCGAAGAGGTTGGCTACCTAAGATGGTGAATCTGATATCCAACAAAACCTTCTCACATCTGGAAGAGACCATCAATCTTATACAAAATGAATTCTGCAAACGAATTAGATTATTTGCCAAATGAGGACACCTAGTGAGGATCTAGAGGGATCTATGGACACTGCCCGACAGAAATCCTAATCTTTTTCAGATTGCAGTTGCAGGAACGGACAAACCCATCAACCGACTTCTGGCGAGGAGGTGGACAAATTTCAGAAGCATTCCATTCGGGGAAATGAGGTTCTTTCAGGTCCAGGTATGTTTTTTGCTTGCTCATTCTATAAGGTCCTTGCTATCCAAACCTTTGCCCAAAAGTTGTAGGTAGGGTGTATTCCCTTCCAAGCTCACTAAGGTTCAGACATTCACATGGTTAGCAAGCCTCAACAAAGCCCTAATACAGGTGGATCATTTACAACATAGATGAATCCACATGGCAAATAGTGTATAATGTACCTTGAGGATAAAAAGGAACGACACATTTTGGCATTGTGAATCTACCATTCAAATTTCTTCCTACTTCCTACTTCCTAAAGAAATATTATATCCCTTGAGCACATCCACATTCTTCTTTAGAATCCCCTCTCTTCTCTTCTCCCAGCCTTGGAGGTGTTATACAAAGCGTCCCCCTCAGGGGAGAGCCAATTCTTAATGTACATAGCTTCCTTTGAAGAAGCACATTTTTATACTTGAGTTCCTTTAATGCAATACAGTCGACACTTTTCCCAAAAAAAAAAAACATAACTATTAGTAGCTTACCAATCCAAGAAAGAGTACAAGAAAGGAAAAGAAAGCAAGAAGTAGTACATTGCAGGTCATCCTATCCATACATTGCCAGC